TTCAAATGTCCTCATTGAAGCAACGCGATAAATGAGGGAATTTGAGGAGACGGAACGAGAACCACGAACCACCCCATGTACCGTATATCTGTTCCATAGACTGTCTTTTATTATTTAGTCTATGATCTGTTCATTATAAAAAATAATAATAATTTAATTAAGTTACAAAAACTTAAATAAACCAGATTAAGGAAAACAACAAATTCGTTTTTGAAGTTTAAGTGTTGGAATTTATTAAATGTATTTTATACATATACGACATTAAAAATACAAACAAAGAAAAAAAACAATGGGAGCACACTTTCTGTAATTTCTCTATTTACCTAGTTCATTTTCGAAAAGGATGTGGGATGAAGTGAAAGAGGCGTATCTGGTCTTAACCATTTTTTTTTCTTAAGCTTTATCAATTATTTCAAGGCCTAAGCTTTCAAAATAAAAAGTACAATTAATGCAACAAAAAGCAACAACTAATCAAATATATTACATCAATTGGTAGATGTTACATGCCTTACATCTGATACTATTCTATCTTACCACTGCTTTTTCAATTCGTTGTTAAATATGTTATTCTTGTAAAATTTGTTTGAACTTTCCTATTGTTTTCCAAATTTTCAATTCCCTTCAGCTGTTCCATAGATGAACTCCCTTTGTTGTGATACAATGTAGTTTAACATGAGTCCTTACTGCTTGTGTTTTTAAACATAAATACACCTATGAGATTGTGTTTACTTTCCCTCTGCTGATAAACGGAGGATTTTTTACTCTGCACATGATTTTGATAGTTTGAAGTCAACCAGGTCCTTAAATTTTAATGTATTCAGTTTGATAAAAAATGGGTTTGTTGATTCACTGTTAGAACTCTGAAGCTCTGTAAATTTCACATAGCCTCAAAATCTCAACTTCAAAAGTTCTTTATTCTTTTCTGACTTAATTCTAGTCAATCGTCAAAAAGAACAACATCAACAGTTCAGTAAAGCATGATTTGTTTTTTAACTAAGCATACATTGATCCATTTCAAATGAGCGAGAATGATCTTAAAGTGATGCACTAACATCATGCAAACAGAGGTTACAAGCAAGTATGCTCTTGGATTTTGTTCATGGAGACTACAGCTCGGTATGGCAGTCTGAAATGTTTTAATTCATTTGTGATAAACTAATGATGGTGATGTTAATCTGCAACTCCAAGAAAGTGGGAATCATATCAGCCAATTATTATAAAAGTATCCTGTGAAAAATTGGAAATAAATTACTATTATTATGATTAATTATTTTTGTTTTTATTGTCCCAAATTGTTGTTACAGTTAGGTCCACAGATTACCAACATTTGGGTACTTGAATAACATTACAACATTCTTATAAGATAGGAGAAGATTAAAGTCTTTGCCTTGTATCTGTTGACATAGCCTGTATGGATCTGTTTTTTCCTTCTTTTTAATATCTGCTTAAAGGAGCCATCATATATGACATCATATACAGAGAGAAGGAGACACAAATAAAAGAAAGGACCCATTAAGCAATTGAACAATTGAAGCACAGTTTGGCTTCATAGACTTACCAATAAAATGTTTGGACATAAAAGTAATAAAATAAATTACAGAAACATAGATACAACAGTAGGGATGTAAAGATGAATCGTGAGGCAGTTAAAAATCAATTCAAAGGAGTCAATGTTCACATCGGTACTCTGAAAAAGGAGTCGCAATAATATCGTGAGCGTCAGCAGCTGTAGAGCTGAGGCGGTTGGCAGCTGCAGAGCAAGATTTTGAAATTGAGGACGCACCATGGTCTTTTAAATTGGAGGTGTGGAATCATTTTGGCTACCCTAAGACATAAAATGAAAGAGGTGAAAAGATAACAGACGAGACAAAAACTGTGACCCAATAGGACAAGAAGACAGAGAACTACACAAATAGCACAACCAACGTGATATAGTCGACACCAAACCCCACTGACAAGCGGTTTGCAGCCCTGCTCACCCAAATGAGTGCAAGAGCCAAAGAGATTACGAGGTAATTTTTTTCTGTTTGTTTGTTTGTTTGTTTTTCTGCAGAGAAATTAAACTGACAAGAAAAAAAATAAAAAAGTTTAACGTGCGTCATCTTATAAATTGTCAGGGGAAAAAATGAATGTCTAAAAAAAGACGCCCATCTGTATTCAAAGTAATGCACAAAATAGTTCAGGAACAAATAAATGAGCACCGGTAAGTTTGTCAAAGCAGAAACAGGAAGTGCAGTGGTTTTTGTTCACATAGACAGAGGCATATAGAGTGGTCTATTAGGAAATATGTAACCACCTATGTTCAGTTTAACCCTCACCTCTTCACTTTAATACTTTTCTAAACTAAGAGATGACAGTAAAGTTGAAGTGCAGGGCAAAGAATTTAAACAGAATAAGAAATCATGAGACAATCAGGCCATAACACTTTTGTCTTTTATTGTGTTGTGTTGCTACATTACTATGAGAGCAGTGTGAATAATGTGCAGTTTGCATTTCTAAAAACACTGACATATGTCCTTGTGCTCATGTGCTAAATCTCTCATATCTGGAAAGTTAGTTGAAAATTTGCATATCTTTGCTGACTATGTGTGGTCTTCCTCTTTTGTGTGTTTGTGTCTTTTTGTGTTTTCTGTTGAGCCAGGTTGAGATTAAGATTTACTTATATTTACTTATTGATCCCCGCAAGGGGAAATTTTAGTTTTTACACTCTGTAGTCATGCAACACACACATAGGCTGAAATATACACACACATGCACAAACAGGATCCTATGGACATGCACTAATGGAGAGATGTCAGAGTGACGGAGCGGCCCACAGCGGGCGCTCCTGAGCTGGTGGTGGGGAGGGGGTTTGGTGCCTTGCTCAAGGGCACCTCAGCAGTGCTCAGGAAGTGATCTGGCACCTTTCCAGCTACCAGACCAACTTCCATATTTGGTCTGCTCCGGTTCCCAACCCAAGTCCCTACAGACTGAGCTACTGCCGCCCCTACTGTGTCACAAAAACTGCATTTACCTACTTTCATGCACAACTCTGGTAAAATTGTTGAACATTTTAGAGTCAAAATAAAAAAAGGACCAAACAAAAATGACTACATGTACTGTGTGAGTCTCACAGACATGTCTTCAATCCCGGTGCCATGTAAAGCTCCATTGTTATCCAAAAGCTATTTTGGCTATTCTTTTTTTCAAACCTCAGTGAGCTACATCATTACACAAGGTGACTTATTCTTTAATGAAAACGAACATAAACACACACAGTAGTATTTTTTGACTAAACTCCAACACACAAAAACAGTCCTGGCTCCAAGTAAGCAACAAATGTGTAAACAGTCCCGGACTAATGCACATTTTCCTCTGTTTGTTTGACAATAACTAGTTTACAGTCTGCAGCTTCCTTTAGAATAGAACTGTATACATATTTGTTAGTCTTAATTGGATAGGACAGCTTGAGAGAGACAGGAAGTGTGGAGAGTAAGGGACGAAATGCACCAAATGTTGTTTGGACTGTCAGACCTGCAAGCAGTGATCGCAAGGACTGTAGCCTCTGTACATGTGACACCTGCTGAGCTAAACCAGCACACATTCATTGTGTAAGTTCTTGAAGATTTAAATCTTAAATAGGATTCATTTATTTATTTATCAGTTTATTTGTTAGGGATACTACATGTAGGCATTGTAACATATAGTTAAAGTGCAACCGTTGCAATGTCGGACTTGCCATGGCTAATATGCAGACCTCGTCCCTGGTGAGGATTTTAGGAAATCACTCACATGATCCAACACTGTCTAAAAAATACAGACATATAAACTGACAATTTCATCAGAAATTAATGGGCAGCGACATGGATAGCATGTCATAAAAACTAACAGTAATGCAGACATAGATGGGCAGCTACATACAACGAACACATTATTGAAATTGATCCTTTCATAGATAATCTTTAAAATTGCAGAGCAGTGAGCATTAACGAGACAATTCTGATGCAAACATTTTAAAAAGTCAAAAAATGAAACAGAGGATATTTCGTCCATAAATATTTGACTTTTCTTTTTTTGAAATGACTGTTTTAAACCTTTCATTTTTTGAAAAGACTATCTTAAAACTCTGGCTAATTATTAAACTAAATTATCTTTTACTGTTTTAAATTTACAAACCACGTCGACTGTGATGTTGTCGAGGACTATAGGCGCTTTTCTGGTTTCTTGCAGTGCTCGAATGTTGTCTTGTTTGTCATCATGTTTTTGTTCATGTGAAGCCAAAGATAATTTTACACATGGTGGACAAATAAAGTTCTATTCTATTCTGGTCGTGACTTAACATAAAAAAAAGTAACCTCATAGACTGTGTTTGATGTGTTTGACTTGATGGTTCAAGTGGTTAGTTCTTCTGTGAAATTCTTCTCTGCATGAATATGATGGTAAAGAATAGTTTTTCAGTTTTTTTTTTTCAATATTCTACCTTCCGTTTCAGATGTTTGTGTGATTTTGCGTATTTTACTGTAATCACAATCTCTTGCCATTTCACACATAGCTGAATTTTTGCCAGATGACAGTTTAGGTGTCATTATTAAGTTGACCAGAAATAGTTCCAACTTTCTGTTCATGTCTTCAGTCATGTTAGCAGCTCTGTGAGGCTGCATTACCTCTAACTGCTAACATGCAGATGTGAACATGCTGTCCACAAACAGTTGGGTAAAACACAACAAAGAGTCTACCTGCTCATGTACCATTACATCATTTATTTATAGATAAAAAATATATAATTAATTATAGATTGACAACATGCCAAAGCTAATCCTGGGAAAATGCTGCATTTTTCTAACCATGCAGGCCAGAAACATGATCGTTTCTGCTGTTAAAAAACAAGCAGCAACCTCCGGTGACAAATGAAGCAAAAGTGAAAGAGCAAAATCCTGCAGTTTGTGGAGGGTCCACTTAAGGCTGGCTCCAGGAGCCCCAGAAGTCACATACACAACATAGCCAAAAAATAATAATAATTTTAAGGTTTGATGAAGGTTTTGATTTTATGAAGAATATTTGTTATCCATAGTTAAGCGAGTAGCTGACCTGACTGACAGCTGGGCGTGATGTAATGATTTGTATGGAGGATTCAAATCCTCCTCAGCTTTCAGCTCTGACTGAAAGTTAGATTGAGACAGCATTTCCAGCACGGTGGTTACCGCCGATGAGCCTCCAAACCCCCCCTGCAGTAACAGGATGAGTAACGTCACTCAGGCTTCATCCATTAATATTAACTGTCCAAGGTAAAAACGGGCATTTTAACATTACAGTCTCAAGTGGACACTCCGGGAATTGTTTTTTTCACTTCCACATTGGCTTCATTTTAAAACACAGGAGGTTGCAGCTTGAGTTTAACCTTTACAAAGTTAAACATCTTTTTTAGCGTGTTTACCTGCTAAAATTAGCAAAGTAGCACTAAATACAAAGATATTCGTCTTGCAGGTATTAAAAACAATAAGAAAAATAGAAAATCATCCTATAGCACACTAAATACACATCCACACAACCACTTCCTTGGTTTACACCAAGTTGGGCATTATGTTGAAAGTTTTCTTCTCAATTTTAATCTTAAAGCTTTTAACAACAGGAAATCTAGTTCTTTTTTTTACGATAAATGACTTCCTGTATCTGTGTTAATGTTGAGGGAAGTGAAGAATTTATCATGCACACTTGACAAAGGTTCAGAGTGATCGAAATGTTGTGGCTTTTTCTTTTAGATGGTGATGCTGAGAGAGTAGCTCTCCCCTCTGTGTGAAGGGTAAACGAGAAGCAGGAACTTACTATCACTATATGGCACTGCTGTTAAATTCATGTATCGCATTCCTATGGAACACCTCCGTGCTAAATGAAAGGGCAATAACAACCTATTTTATAATATTTTGCGACCCTTCTTAAATTATCTTCCCAGTAATCTGGTTGGATTGTTGCAGAAAGGATGCCCATTGTATTCTTCACAAATATGTCATTGTTATATTTTTCTATTGTGACGTCATAAAAGTAAATAAAATTGTACCTGATATGATCATAAATATGTGTTATTGCACTTTTGTTCTTTCTGTAATCTGGTAAGATGTGTACTTTCTTTTTCTAAGTTTGTTTCATGTTGAACTTTTGAAATATGTAAAAAAGAAAAAAAGAAAAAGGATACAGCCCAGAAAAAATGAACAGAAGAGTATAGTTCATACTCTGAAAACCATCAATGTCTGAACCGAGTTTCATGACAATCCATCCAAAGGTTGTTGAAATATTTCAGCCTCGACGACAGAAGAGGGTTGACATCAACAAAACAAGAATAAAATATTATTGTCAGAGGATAAGCAGACATAGTTACTTGTTCCGCCGTTCATTTGTCCTTATTTATAATTCCTAATGTGATCCAGTTTGTGAACATGATCCACCCATAGTTCAGAACTTATTCCATCGACATGTCTCCTCCTGTGTTTGAGGATTAACAGTCAAGTTCTTTATGGAGGCAAGACTTCAACGTATTCTGACTCTGGAACATCTGTAAGGAAAATAAAGTCAAAGTCAAATACATCACAAATCAAAACAGACACTTAGACACAATAGAGAAACTCCATCTGACATACTTTCATAGTCGTGACCCTCTTCATGTAAAGGCCTCTGCTGTATCTGCGCTGCAGGTGGGTGAGTAGGCTGGATCAACAGAGCCGTCTTCCTTTTGACGGCGTGTCGCAGGTGTGTGGCCAGACCCTGGTTCCTCCTTTTAAAGTGACGAATCAGCTCATCTAAATTCTTAAAAAATGTCTCCTTTACACCTCCCGCAGTCTGACGGAATAACAACATCATACAGTTAATTAGAAAGGAGAATAAGAAGTCTTGGCTTTATTGCAACATAACTCTATGTTAAAGTGTTGTCATGTGATGCAGAACTAATTCAAGGATACACTTGGAAAAAAAAGAAAAACAATCATTAATAACTGTTACTAAGATTTGATTCAAGGGGATTGTTTTGTTTGGCCTGAATTAAAAATGAATATATGAAGTTACTATTTTAATGTTATTTTAATGCTTATTTACACACGCAAATGTGCTCAAGCGCTCAAGAGAGATCTGTTCAAGATAACAGGAACAAAATGTCACTCAACGCACTGACAAAGGTTAAAATAAACATGGAAAGAAGAAGTGAAAAAGCAGCATTTTGTTGACAGATTATAATGGTTTAAACTATAATATAAAACTTTTAAACTCAGTCAGCCTTCTGGTATAAGCCAATGTTTGGCAGCTTGGCTCCAAAAATTATCAAAATTGTCAAAAGAAATTGAAGGGGCCCGTAGAAAATGCAAACATCGGCAAATCCGATAATCCAGTTCTCCATCAAACGCTAACATGTAAAAAAAGAAAAGAAAAAAAAAGTTACAAATAGGCTAAGACTGCCACTGTTACTGTCTGGAGATGTTTACAGAATGACCTGAATGAAAAATATAGTGAGAAAGGCTGAAACATAGACTGAAATAAAACCATTCATAAGCTATCTTCAGATTTCTTTCAGATTCTGATCAGCTTTATTAGGACACTGGTGACACTGGCAATTTGTTCAATATTTTAGCTTGAACATGAGTAAGATTTGGTCCAGGACGAAACACTACTCCTTTTCATGCCCCCACATTCATACCTACTAGATCAGTGTTTTTAAATGACTTCAAATCCAGCTGGTTTCAGAGCCTTTCATTATTATTCACGGAACCTCAGATGACGTCATCAAATGAAGTAAAGCACAACGACGTTTCCTGTCCTACAGTCTTGTCAACATTCAAAAGCTGCTCACACAATGGAAAACAAAAGAACTGCGGTGGCAGTGAACAAACACACGAGATCTAGAAAGGAAAAGATAAACTCTTTTAAATAAACATACTTATTTGATAAGGATCACCTCTCTCACAGTATCTAACATTAAACTAGCTATCTTCAGCTATCTTCAACCCACCAGAGGTTTTCAAATTTGTTTACATGTATTGAGTGTTTGGAGGATGTACACCTTTAATAGTTTAGTTTGTGGTTAGTATATTGTAACCCATGGGCACTTGCCTCATTCATTTGTGCTGTCGTTCACGAGTGTAAAATCATATAACATGTTTAATTGTTCTTATAAAAACACTTGAAAGAGTAAAGTCTGGAATTAAATGGTTAATTTTTTACACCCTTCTACCCACTTTTATGTCAATCAGTTGGTTGTTCTCCCATGATCTTACAGACAAAAGGACTGAGAAACAGACAAACAGCATCGAAAACAAGTCCTCTGTGGCAGATTCATTAATATTAAAAAAGGCTTCAGTCTGACATGTGGGAGGAAATACTGACAAGACGGAAACACAGCAACAAGTAGCAGGATAATACCACGCTCTGACAGGACAGAAATAGATTTAGATCAAAGTAAGACCACAAAAAAACAAGTCTGTTTAGAGCTACACCAGAAAGAAAAGCAGTCTTGAAATCAGGTTGATTTGATGATTTTGGTTTTACCCAGTGACTAAAAACCACTTTGTGAGTCAACATTATATTATGCAGTAAGTCTGTGACTGAGTGAGGTGGGGAAAAAAACGACTAAAAGATCAAATCTAACAGGTTATCAGGGTGGCAGAAAGTTGTTTTTGTTTCTGAGTTGACGTCAGAGGAGTTTCCTGTGATGAAGGGGTGACCTCATAACTGCTCAGTTTCCATTTATTGGGGGTGAAATGTTCCATTAATGATCGGCTGAATGCTGTGATGTCTGGTATCTGAATAAAGAATCTGAAAAGAAACAGACTTTTATAGTCTGAAACTTGTTTTAAAGAAAGCGTAATAGTTGGATTATAAGAAAGAGTAAATGTTGTACAGTTGAGCTTTATTTTTTTGTATATATTACTCACTAAATATTTGCAGCACAAGGTTCCCAGACAGAGTTGCCCACAGGGACATAAAAGTGTATTGTATCGTGTCCTGTCGTATCATGTCCTTTTGTTTTGTATCATATCGTTTTTTGTTTGTTTATCTTCTTGTTTTTCTTGGTTTGTGCAAATGAAAGATAATAAAACTCAAAAATCCAACTGAACAGTCGGTTCAATAAAAAAGATCAAATAATTAATGCTAGTATGGAACTGAGGCACGAGGGATAATGATGCATGTGTGTGTGTGTGTGTGTGTGTGTGTGTGTGTGTGTGTGTGTGTGTGTGTGTTTACCATGAGAGTGTATTGCCCAGTGTGCGTCTGCAGCAGTCTGTATGTGTACACTACCTTCTGTTTACTGCAAAGACAAAAGAGACACATGTTGATTATTGAAAACTGCACGATTGAAACCATAATTAAATCACTGATCTTTCAGTCTCCATAGGGTAAACCCACTCCTAAATTTCTTCTGATTTACACTTTTGATTGATTGACAATGCTGCACTTTTTTCCATGATAGTGAAGGGATGACTCTCCCTACTCCGTCTCTAAATGGCTGGTACACACAAACCAAATATGTAGGAGTAGTCCTACATGTCACTGGTTATAACATAGGCTGTTTACCATCTGCTGGACGGGCCAATAAATGGGTTGTATGGGTTGTTTTAAACTTTGATATGATACTACTTCAAATCAAACAATATATATCCTTATTTCAATACCTCAGCAATGAAAAAATAAGTCCTTGGCAACAAATACTGGATCATTTATTATTTTTAATTACAGTATAATTGCAGGTAAACTTCAACATGCGGCCTAAGTTGTATACATTTTTGGATGTATTCATTCCTCTCCTGACCACCTGCCTTATGAAACAGATGTAGATTTTTCTTTTTAAGTTTTGAACCTTTTACTTCAACTTTCAATTAAAATAAAGAATATCGTGTTGTTAAAATATGTGGATTTTTCAGAATTATTTGAAAATTATGAATCTTAATAAGCATTTTTTTAAAATCTTCAAAAAGCTTCTTTCCCGCATGTCATTCCCCTCTCTCTCTCTCTCTCCCTGATTTCCGACTCTATCCACTGTCCTATCTCTCCATTAAAGGCACAAAAAGCCCAAAAATAAATCTTTGAAAAAAAAATAATTCACACTTCACACACAATAAAAACAAACAGTAATTATGTACTAAAATAATTTGAGAACAACCATAAGAGTATGTCATATAAATACAAGAACCACTACTATCACTAATATCAAAAGTCATATTTATGCCTAATCTAAAAGAAACAATTTACTCTAAATTAGACTATGGTTGACACAATGTGAGAATGTTTTAGCTACAATCAACAAGAAGGAAAGAAGCAAAGATGCCAGCAAAGTATTGAGTTCAGTACTCACTAAACACACAGACACATGGCTCCCAGGATGGTCTCGCTGTCTCGGATCAGGTAAGCTCCGTCTTTGTTCTTCTTCCCCAGCAGATCCTCACACTGCTTTTTGCTGAGGGCTCCGTGGTAGCACACCAGCGGAGCTTCTGCCATGTTGAGGACCGTGCAGGCGACAGAGACATCCACCAAAATACTTCTGCTTTCTCACAACTGCTTCATTTCTTTCTAAGAAAATACACTTTAACGAAAATACGCTTTAACGCCTTCTCCAGCAGCTGTAATCCAACTGCAATAAGTCAGATCGGGTGAAGAAAGTTGTCTTTTTGGTGAACTGGATTTGACTTTTGTTTCTGTGAAGTCTGATGGCTGAAAAGAAGACAAGCACCGAGAGAGGTCAGCAATCAATATGTGGAGGTGCTCAGCAGAGCAGCGGAACACAGGAACAATAAAAAACCACAGTTGGCCTGACAGTTTCACAGGAAGTGTGTGTGTGCATGTGTGTGAAAATGTGCAAAATAGAGTGTAGTATCTTGTGAGGATATCAGTACTATTTATTTAGTTTGTAGAAGTTTGTAGAAGTTTGTAGAAGTTTATTTAGTTTGTAGAAGTTTAAGCCAGTGCAGTAGTCTTAAAATGTTACAGTAGAAGAAAAAGATTGACTGTGTTTTTAAGATTGTGTGTAATCTTAAAAACACAGTTCAAAGTGCTTAGCAGAGTTTTCGAGAAAAAATTTAACAGAGGGATAGATGGCATGCACACAAAAACGATCAAAAATAGAAAAATGGTGCAAAGACTAAATCAGCAGACAGCTAGATAAGCACTGAATGAGCATTCCAAAGCAGCCGTGCAAAGTATCAAAACAGCAGCACAGAAATACTGTGAAAAAATGTTCTGCAGGAACACTTACACATGAGAAGTTTAATAAAAGCAGTGGACATGAAACCAAAGGCAGAATTATCTATGATGCAGAATGACAGTTATATTTTTCAATTGTATGAACCATTAATGTGCAAGAATCCGGTTTCATGCAGCTGGTATATGTTTGTACATTGCTGGATATCTTAAAACAAATTTATGTTAAAATGAAGATACATTATTTGTTGGTAACACAAATTGGTGTAATAATAATCTTAATCCAACAAGTGGTAAACTGCACACCTTTCAATCCTAGATTTTTCACTTAACCTGATGAGTTTTCTACAAATGTAGTTGCCAGATTGCTTGGAGGAAAACCGCCTCAGTAAAAGGTTCACTAGGCCAAAAAAAAAAATAGAGCCTTATTTGGTAAAAAAAAATCCTTGTTATGTCACTTTGAACTTCTGCCCCTCGCAGTTTTCTAAATGTTCTGATTATTTTTTACTGCTGCAGTTTTTTCTTTTTTAAGAGGAAAGTTCTGTCTTGTGTGCACAAGATGGGGAAACATGCAATATTGATACTGACATCAGGTTTGACACAAAATAGTTCAGAGTTTGGTTCCATTTTATCTCTACAGCGCTGCATGGCTTCAGAAGCTGTGAAGCTGCCAGGAAGGCAAGAGCCAAGGCACCTGAACAAGCACTCTAACACAAACACAAACATGCACACGGAGGTTCACATGTGCTCGCTGTCACCTTCAGTTATTTCCGTAACACAAATAAGAAATATCAGACCACAGTCAGACATTGAGGGACTGACGGTATCACAACAATGTACAGATGGAATCGGCCACATCCACCAGGCATGTGGAGGTGTGCTGGAGGAACATGCACTGAGTCATTTTTGTGTCTTATTTGTATACAGTACATAGTCATCATCACTCACATCTGTAAGTTGTCTTTCACTTCATCATCGGCATATGTCAGGATTTCTGTGGCGCACGCTCTGTTGTGTACTTTTTTTCAGTTATTTTGAACTGTGCAGGTTATTTCCTATCACAGCATGTCTGTGCCGTTAATTCAGCAAGCATGAGTCAAACTCTTCATACACTGGATCCCACACGTTCCATAATGCACCTCTTTAGTCTGTAATTCAGGATTTATTTCGATAACTTGTGCTCACAGATTATGATAAGGATTCATCTCCTTGTCCCTCTCTTTGTTTATGAGATGATTTTGGCTGAAGGAGAAGTAAAGTTGTCCCATGCTTTAATAAAGGAGGCAGCATCAGGACTCTCATCTGTGGCCTTCCAGCTCAGATACCTGCAATCGTTGTCCTCGGCCCAACAGAGAGCTCAACACAAGTGAAAGGGCCCGAATGTCTCTGTGATGAGACAAAAAGGTAGACTGAGTCAAAAGTCAAACTTGTAGAAACATAAAGGTTTATTAACTTTGAGAATGAGTCTTTGGCCAGACGATTGTGGTGATGAAGTAGCCATAATCCGTTTAAAATTATTGTAAAACTGTGATTTATAAATATATGTAATTATTACTCTTATTTCACAGAAGATATTTTGTTAATAAATTCTCCTTGAACCTGTCGTTCAGACAAACAGAGTGTGAGTCTGTTGTTTGTTTTGGAGCTTCTGTTGATGCAGTTTGAGCTCCTGCAGGATAGATCAGGCTGTACTTTGTCCTCTCATCCATTGAAACTGTAGTTGCCGTACTCGTGACATTAACCAACTCTTCTATGTAGATCCCACACCAACAATCCCATCATTATATCTGTGCAGCTAAAAGAGCTAAACATGGACTTTTCACTGCTCTCTGGTGGACTGCAAACAGAACTGTTGCAATACTCAACAGCAATTTTAAAATGTTTAGCAACTGACCGAAAAAAACTACCTGCTGATTTATCAGATTTTCCACTTCAGTAAAGGATCAGATGTGACACACTTTCCAGTGGAGACACATAACAGCCAGTAATAACTGATAATACTTCTCGTGGTGTCAGAAACCGTAAACGATGGATCATCCAATTATCATTACCTAATAGTTCAGACACATGAATATGGTCAGGTTCATCGGTTTAGCTGTGATTATCTCAGCAGCTTTAGCTGAAGATTCTTATAATAGAACATCCAGACCCAGCCGACCTCCTGGCCTTTTTAACCCAGCTGCAGGAGCCTCCCATCGTCTCGTTTACACAGATAATAACTGTTTATCTGAACCCCGGGCTGATGAAATAAGAACAAGCAAAGGAGTTTAATCTTGTCCGTGTGCTCTTTGCTTCCACCATCCTTCTCCTGACCTCGATTAAACCAAACTTAAATGAATTAAACCATTTAAGTGATTCTATCTGAATCGTGTTTGGCCTGTCGCCGCACTGATGTCCATACAGTACCCGTGCTCAGATTACAGAGGAACCTCTATTACCCTTTATTTACATCCAATCCCTTTACAGTGAGTCAGACTTACTTTAACAGGCACTCTTTTCTCTCACAACCAATCATCAAGCAAGATTTAAATTTGTAAAGCTTTACATTATCAATAACATCTTCTCATTTTTTACAGCTTTTTTATTTATCCACTTCTTAAATTGTATTGTTTTAACTTCAACAGGCTTTTCAGACCTGTTGGTTCTATTTTAATTCGTCATTTGTATTTATTCTTGTTGATCTTTTTGCATTTAGTAATAGCCATTTGTTTGAATTTGTAGATACTGTCTGGGCTGGACCATTGATGCTTATAATGTTAACTTCCTGACAACTCAAGTTTGACTCCATAAACAAAATGACAAACACTCAAACCCAGCATGCCTGTTTTTTTATGGCGTTCTATCCAATACTGCTACCCGACAGGATGTGCCACCAAGCAGCTCTGTACAGTACAGGAAGCATTATTTAATCAGGGGTTTTCATCAAAGATACACAACCTCTGAAATCAGTATTTCGGAAAATCTATTTGTTTCTTTGCTGACAAACATTTTGCACGTTTTCTCTGATCTCTTGGAGCTGTTCCACATCAGCGTCTTTTTACAAAGTCATGTGACTGATAAGAGGGCGTGACCTCAAAGGTAAGCTCTTTAACAGGCCAGAACATCGTGACCTTACATAGACCTTTAACCTGGCTGCTCACCAGCCAATCACTGTCTGAGACCCTGAGACACCCACCAAACCCTGTTCAAGTATTTTTAATGTAAACAAACATCTGCAGTATCTTCTTATTGACCTCATATTTCTCTTGTAGCGTAAAATGTGTTTTTGTGTATGTATTAGAATGTAATAATCAGCTTGCAGAGTCTTGAAAACTGTAAACAATCACAAGACATCTTCTTAGTTTTTATAGAAGTTGGGTGTTGCTCGACAACACAGTGCAGATCTTCTACTGTAATATGGAGATAAATTGGTGCAATGAAAGGAAATGCAGCCATTGGACATTTGGAACAGAATAAAAAATCTAAAACATGAACAAGATTAAAAATTCACACTGAATTTAGTCTTTTTTTTTCTGGCTGAAAAAGATAATAAAGCAAACCAGCAGTAAAAGAACATTGATGACCTATCATCTATTTATAGTTACAAAAAAAGTGAGGAGGTGTAGGTTATATTCACCACAATCCTCACGCAAATCACAACATGTTTATTTTCTGGTAGCGATTAAACAAAAGTAGAAACATTTTTATAAGAGGAATTTCAAAGGTCTCGTTGGCTGATTTTAAAAATCAAACCCAAGCAACCGGGGAATAGCGGAAGCAAAACTTCACACAAAGCTAACTTTGTGGTAGCTTTGTTTTAAACAGACAGATATGAGTGCTGTATTTATCTCATTAGCAAATAAGTGTATGTCTAAAAATAATGATAGGTGATTAATTTCTTCTTCTCTGGATCAGCGATCAACAAAGAATCTGCACACTGTATTAAAATCTCCCAGCAATAACAGTGTGTTGAGTTTAATACAGTGTGTGCGTGGATCCTTTTTTGATTCTTGCCCTCACTTTGAAGCATTGACCATGTGACATTTCTTTATTCCCTCTGATAAACACACTTGCTGACGCCAGGGTGTAATCAAGTTGTAATTCGGAGCTCCCGTCCTGTTCTGTCAACCATTTACTGAACATTTTGAGCGTACACTCTTACATTACTGTAACCCTCGGCTCAGTTTTACTGCCTTTGAAGTGTTTTCGGAGTCTGCCGCTGGTGCCGGCTTACTGGATGTTAAATTACATGTGTTTAGGTTGAATTGAGTGAATACAGGGCAGGATGGGCTGGGTGCAGTGTGGTCAGAGTCTAAAGAGCTATTAATAACCATCGGTAGTATAGCTCCCACTTGAAGCAGCAAAGATTACCCATAATCATATTTCCAGTTCACTAATCAGAGAGTAGAGGAGGACCACTGTACTCTGTTTTAATGTAAAATGTAGTTTTAAACGTTGTGTTTAATATCTTTATCTGACAGATCTTATTTCATAGATACAGTACAAAAATAAGATGAAGTACAAGTTTGATTGTTTCCTATATACCAAATACTACTATTTCACAAAACTTAAATAAGCAAATTACTAATAATAATTGGACCGTCATTCTCTGTCCATGGTCCTGAAACCAAACAAGTAGAATTTTCTGAGCTCTTATAAATTTGAGGTGCTTTACAAACTCTGATCCACAACGTAATTTAACTTTTGCATCTTTCTTTTGATTTCCTCAGCCTACTAACACTGTAATATTTTATGTCTGAATCTTTGTTTACTTTATTATATGGCACTTCAAGGTAATTTATATGGATACCGGTACAGCAGTGTTTTATATTACAAACTGTAAATTACACAGTAAAACTGTAACAATAATTATATATGACATCCATATGGTATCTATAGGTATAGTTAAATGGCAAAACAATGTTTCTTTCGAAGGTAAACATTTGTATTTTACTGTATAATTTTCAAACTCCAACCTTAACCATTAAATCCACAGTAGAGATATAATGTATTGTATTTTTTTTACAGTGAGGTTCTGGTAACCACAGCTGCCAGTATATTGCCAAAAATACTGCAGCTGTTTTTTTTTACAGCGTACATTTGAATTTTTGTTAAATATCCTCACTGTTCAATTTGTCCACCTCACCCTCCTTCTAGAAACCAAAGAAGGCTTCTCTCCTCCTCCCTCCCTCCCTCCCTCTCTCTTACAACAATCCCTCCCTCCCTCCCTCGGTCAGTCGGTCCCTCCTTCACTCTTCATTCAGAACCCCTTCACTCTCTGTCTGTCTCTCTCTCTCTGACTCTTTACCTCATTCCCTCTTCGTCTCTGAGGTTGGAATAAGGATGCTACCCCGCAGGCTCCTGGGTCTGCTGGGCCTCATGATGCTCTGCAAAGGTAGGAAAAAACAACAATAATTCTGCTTATTAGTTAAAGAAAATAAGAACGTTGGTCATTGTGAAAGCTCCAGCCTGCTTAGAGTTCTTATCTTATAGAAGAGACTGCTCCTGCAAGAAACTAAGACAAAATAACTGTGTTGCACTCAAAGTGCCCACAAAAAGACAAAACAAGTGTATGACTGCAGACAGAAACAGCTTAGTGAAGCTTGGGAAAAGACAGATTGTTTAAAAGTGCTCCACATTGAAGTTTAAAATAAAAGCGCTTGCTTCTGTTTCATTCTGTTGGTCTAAGAATAAACACACACTAAGTAAAGACCACACCGTCTCCTAGCTTGTCATCAGTAGGGCTACAAATGTGTGTGTTTGGGGCCGGATTGAGGCCATTTCAGTCTCTTGTTTTCACAGCAGGGCGGGTGGTGAAGGGATGAGGTGTTTTTTATAGCAGCCTGATCCTATTGAGGGCGGTGTGGGACTCCTGTGTGAGATAATTGCAGAGCAGGAACCTCCAGCAGCTACTGGGAACCACTGGTGGCTTCGATACTAAACACTCCATGTAGTCTTGTTTACAACAGCAACATAATGTTAGCCTTAAGTCTGTGTTATCAGTGGTTGTTGCTCGTTTAGTTTGTCTCTATCCATGTCGCTCTTTCTGTCATACCCCACATCCCACTTTCTGGGTCCCTCCGGTCGTGACAGATGGCCGTGAGTCTGGTTCTGCTCGAGGTTTCTGCCAGTTAAAAGAAAGTTTTCTTTAGACAATGTTCTCATACGTTGGCAAATGTTTGCTCATTGTGGGGCTCTGTTGGGTCTCTCTAAATATTATAAGAGTCCTGATAATAATTTATAACTTATTTGGCACAATATCATAAAAAATTGATTGACTGATTGGTTAAGATTGACCAGGCTGGGGCGCTGATGGCCAAGTGGTGAGGTCACATCCCATGTAAGGGGGCTAAAGTCCTCTGAGCCAGCGGCCCGGGTTCGAGTCTGACCTGCGGCTCCTTTCACCACTCCTGACTTCATGCTCTATCTACTGTTGGGATGTTTATACTGAGAGCACAGCGCTATCGAAGGAGGTGATCAGGGCTTTCTGCCAGACAGTGTAACATATATCAAACAGCTCAACCCATTACATTTTCATGAAACATTCAAGGCTTCATGTGGAACAAAACATGGGCCATGCCCCTGGTTAAAATTCAGAAAGGCATCACTCTTTTGAAGCTGTTCTGAAGTTGTTAGCCCCCCTGCACAAACTTTGACTATGGACATCTGTGCGACCGTAAAAACACCTTTAAAGACGTGACTCATGCAAACATGAGTCAGTCTGTTTACCTTTGACCACTTAAAGGATACCACGGATTTATTAGATTGACAAGCCAGTCTCAACTAAATCTACTTTAAAAATTAAACTATGTCTAACGAGTTGAATAAATAATTCACAAAGACTTGCCTCGAACTTTTAGGTAATTTAATGTTTGTATACAGGGAGCATCGAGGATACACTTGGCTGGAAAACAACTGAACCAGCAGCCTTTCTTCAGCCTGGAAACAACCATACGCAGGCTGAAGACACTTTAAACAGGATAAGGAGACTCCACGTTACCTTGATCGGCGTCTTAATCCTCACATCATCGAGCCAAAGACGTCTTTACTCAGCGTCATATAGCAGACTGAGGATTGATTTTCAGTCAGGCGGATTGAAGCATAGATTCAAAGTCTTTTCAGTTTGTAACCTGTGAAAACAAAAGGTGTTTCTAAAAAGACAGATATTCCTGAAAGTAGTTCTCAGACAATTCCTGTCAATCCACCTTTAAAAGCTGCTGAGGTCAGAAAGAACAACATTTTTTAGCCTAAGAACAGAAGATGGAAAATAAGCTTAAGAACTCAATGCATGCTTCCTGTTTTCTCATAACAGGTTAAATGACCAAATATATCACCATGGTGGATGATTAGTAGCAGAATGCAGCAAACATAGATGAAGCAGATCACTTCAAAAACAGTGTAGTGATAAAAAATGTGGCGGCAAAAGAAAATTATAGTATTGGATGTTAAGAGTAGACTCTTACATTCTTCTCATTAATATCTGACACAAACTGTTTCCATATTTTACAACTATGTCCTCTAAGTGTATCCTCCTCTGTAATAGTGTAATGGTTTCTGAGGAGGGAATGATGTTGGCTTTTTTCTTAACTGCAGACGTGTGAAATAAACTAAATGCTAACTTCTCAGCTCTCTTTTCTAAAACACAAAATCTCTCCTGTGTTGTGAGTTCAGGTCAGGAGGAGAGCGGGGCGGGAGAGTCCTGTGATAACTTTACGGACTTGAACTTATCGCACTGCTTCATGGGAACCAGCCTGTACGTCCGCCTGCTGCTCTACACCCGCAACAACCTCGACTGTGGCCGTGAGCTCAACCACCACCACTTGTCCTCTCAGCCGCTCTTCAGGCTCCACCTCCCCACTGTCTTCGTCATACACGGATACCGGCCTACAGGAGCGCCCCCCATCTGGATCGACCATATCGTCCACCTGCTGGCCGAGCAGGAGGACATGAACATCATCGTGGTGGACTGGAACAAAGGCGCGGCTAACCTCAACTATTTCACAGCTGTGACCTACACCAGGGAAGCTGCTCACAACCTGACCGGCTTCATTATGACTATGGAGGTGATTTGGAGCTCTTTGAACCTCTTTTAGCTCGTTGTTTACATTTTTCAGCACTTGTTTGGCTAAGTTTCATTACTTTCAAGCAACTTAAAAAAAAAAAAAAATGGCAAGAATCAGTAATTAAAGCATACAGATCCAAAGAAGAGGTTCTATGTCAGTGCATCTGTAATCTACTTTTTGACCCCTGTGGTCCCTAGAGTTTGTTTTAACATTGTACAGTTTTCACCAATGCATGAATATGAAGACAGGAATCGAAAAAGAGGAATGCAAAGGGATGAAATAAACTGTGTACCTTGACTGTAACAGAGAGTTTTGATGTTTGTTTTGTGTCTGCAGGAGGAAGGAGCGTCACTGAGCTCAGTTCACCTCATCGGCGTCAGTCTGGGAGCTCACCTGGCGGGATTCGTGGGAGCAAACCTGAAGGGGAGGATCGGACGCATCACAGGTAAAAGAAAAAAAACGGAGGAGAAAAAGACATTATAAAAGTTTTTATTTTGCAGCATATTTATCATCTGAAGCTTCTTGCAAGCAGAGAAAAAAACACTTTATTAAATGAAACATTTTCCATGAACACAATGGTTTCGTAGCAAATCCAACGTGCCTTGAATGACGTAGATTTCTGTTGCTGCAGACGAGCTGCTAAATGAGGTTTTAATCAACTAAAAGAATATTGGAGACCATGAAACTTTAAAATGTATTTTTCTCAGGAAAGCATGATTTCAGGAGGATGAAATAAGCATCTTACCTCCTCCCGTCCTCCAGGTCTGGACCCAGCAGGTCCCATGTTCACCAGCGCTGCAGAGGACGAGAGGCTCGACCCCTCGGACGCCATGTTTGTGGACGTTCTTCACACCGACATGAACTGTGAGCGTCACATTTTAATTTAAACACATAATAAATGATAATTCAACACATTGCACTCTGAACTGAATCTGTGTTTTTTTTTATGTGCAGCTTTTGGACTGCGAGGAGCTCACGGTCACATTGACTTTTATGCAAACGGAGGAGCTGACCAACCAGGGTGTCCCAAAACCATCTTTTCCGGTAAAAACCCGCAGAAATGTAGAAATGTGGTTGAACACACTCTCATTAACGCACACTTCACACCTCTATCATGGACCATTTCTCATCCCTGAGTGACACTTAATGTAAGACTTTAAGAACACATTTTTATGTCTTTTGAGCCGAGTAGGCCGATTCCTTTGTTATTTATTTCTCTGAATATGAGCATTGTTCAGGACTTTAATACACTGTTCAAAACTAAATAAAAAATCTGCATTGCAAGCTGATTAGAGTGTTTAGAATCTAATCAGCTTGCAATAAAAACATTTGTAAGCGTGCATAAAACATTGTTTCTGACCCAAACCATGTCTTAAAAAGTGAATCCAATTTGTGACTTTCAAACTGGAGATACTGATTAGGTTAAACTTAGTAGCCTTAAAAGCTCTATTATCATTCAAAACTAAAATTAAATGTTGAGCTTACTTCAGGATCAATATTTCCTGAAGGGGATAAATACTGCCACCTGTGATTAGAGGGTTTGTTTTATCTCTTATTCTTGACTGTTCCATCATGATGAAGTATAATAACACTCGTCAACCTCCAACAGGTAAATCATACTTTGTGTGTGACCACCAACGCTCAGTGTTCTTGTTCCTGTGTTCTCTGAACCGGACCTGCAGCCTCACAGGTTACCCCTGCTCGTCCTACCAAGAGTACCTGGAAGGCCGCTGTCTGCAGTGCGAGGCCTTTAAACCTGCACCCTGTCCGGTGCTCGGTAAGTGGGGAGATGCTCGTCGGTGTTGATTGTTGAATGTAATATTCAAACTATTCCCCCCTCTGATCTCCGATGTGGTCTCACCTGCAGGTTACGATATCAGCCGGTGGAGAGAAACTCTGCTTCAGCTCGGACAGACCAAAGTCTTCTTCAGCACCACGGCCACGCTGCCCTACAGGAGTGAGTCACACACAGTCTCAAATACAATCTCACAAGAACACATGTACAGTACTTAAAGTGTGCTTTTATTTTGAGTTAAATTCATCAACAGTTCACAAAACTGCAGCTGAAACAAGAAGACTATTTTGACGACTGTTGTTTATTTATGAAGAAAATGTATTGTTTTCAGCTTCCCAAATTTGATGTTTTTATTTTTATTATTTCATTTTTAGATTGATGTATTAATCCTGAATCATTTAGAGGCCTGACCTTTGCAGTGTTACTTTTCAGCTGTAGGTTATTTTGTTGAAATTTGTCACTTTTCTCACACACAAAAATCACTTTACCATACATTTATAAATTAGTTTCCTTTGAGTTGGCAAAGTTGAAACACATTATTGATAATGTGGACTGTATCCCATCAATGCTGTTTACGTGTCCAATAAAAGACCCCTATAAAACCAGTTAACAATGAGAGATAACATATATATTTCCCAAACTACTTCTTGTGTTTATTTAAGAATTCTCAGTTTTTATAATCACTATCTTCAAATTAAAACATATTCCTGCTGTAGGGTAGTTTAAATGATCTCATCTCATTGTTGACTGAAACTTGGTTTTATGAGTCAGACGTTTGATGCTGTCTGTGTCTCTTTGTGTGTTGGCAGAGCCGAGCTACAGAGTGGACATGGTCACCTGGAACCAGTACCTCCGCTGGGGGGTCGTCTACATCCGGCTGCACAGTGGACGAAACTTCACCGAGGCTCGAATAGACCAGTAAGTCTGACCGAGAAACACCTGGATCACCTGATTCTGCGGTGGCCCTGAAGGTCAAATGCACAAATATTTCATGATTGCAACCCGAGTGCACTTACATGTGCAACATTATCCTATTCATGGTCTTGGATTATTTTGGTGAATGTAAATATCATATCAAGGCATATGACCTAGCAGATGAATACTGTTATGATCACGTGTAGGCCTACAGTGAAACAAAAGTCGATTTGACACGTCTGATGAAAGATCATAACCTGTAGAAGATCAGAACCAGAATAAGGATTAAACCATGATACTCATATACACGATAACTCACTTCACAACATTCAAAAATAAATAATTACATAACACAAACAACCAAGAAAAATGTTTCTGAAATAAACTAAATAAAATGAAAATAAAGAAGCAAAAGCGTCATGTTTGTTCCTGTTTCTAACTGGACATGCAGTACTCAAACATCACCCATTTCCTCATTTTCTTTGAGAAGCAGGAAAAGTTCTCCCCGAGCCTCTGCCCACAGCTCCTTCTCCTTGTATTTTTCCACGCTCACGCTATAAGGCGCTTAGCACAGAGAAAGCACACGTTAATTAAAGCTTTCTTTCTCGTTTGGATTATAGGATTAGATGGGTTAGTTTCTGGTATAAACATCTTTAGAGGTCTGGTGGAGGTAAATGTTTGTCTAAAATCCTACCTGCTGCATGTGATCACCCCACATTCACCCCTTCTCGCCCCCGAGTAGATGGCCATGTTTTTTTTAACTGACGTGTTTTGAATAGTCTTTTGAATTTAAATATCTATCTTGACAATGACAATGAATAAATAAATGTTGGCTCCTTGTCTGTAAATTTGCTGTGGGACATTTCCAGTAAAAAGTCTCCTTCAGCCTGCTGTAAAGGAACATGTAACTCTAACTCTCCTCTTCTTCACTCACAGTAAGCTCCTGCGGTTCGAGCAGTACACCTCCACACGGCTGCTGGCTCAGTTCGATGATGATCTGCAGCAGGTTCAGAAAATCTCCATGAGGATCAACACGGGAAACGTGATTGGACCTCGATACAAAATCAGACTGCTGAGGATCCGCTTGACTCCACTGGACCGTCCTGAGAGGTCAGTCTTGGACCTGCAGAGCTATTTGCCAAAGTTTTATACATTGAGCATGACAATACAGAGTATGTAATATCCATAAGATTAAAGATCAAACTAAAGCTGCAACAATTTAGATGTTGGAGATTGTTTACCTCCTGACTGACTCGAGCAATGAGGACTTTTTGGCATTTCATCGAAACATAACCTTAAATATGGAATCGATTAAATAGTTCCTGGTTAATATTCTAATAATTTAGGGTTTTCTGTATTTGTCTCTTTCAGGCCTGTAATGTGCCGCTATGACATCATCATGGAGGAGAACATGGAAGTAGCTTTTCGACCTTTACCCTGTGGGCTTCATCTTTGACTCCCTGACAGGAGTCGCATCTTCTTTTTTTCCTTCTTCTATGGAAACACATCCATCAGACCGCCCGGTGCTACAGGGTCTCCCTGCCTTTGGTTGGACATCCACTGGAGCAGGTGCAGCCTCCTCTCTGGATGATAAGGAGGACCCGCCCGGTGCTGTGGATTACCTGGATTACTGGCACATTATCATGTGGTTATTGATTTTTGAAGCCACTTTGCTACTGTTAACGACAAGCTTTTTGGTCACAACTTAACTGTTACGAGAGCGAGTTAAACTGTGAGAACTGGAAACACAAGATACAAAAAAAGCTGGGACTAACAACACGGTGAGATCTGGTCACTTGATGTTCAGTATATGTCTTTGTTTCTGTGTACATTTTCACCCTCTTCACCAATTTAGTTTCATTTTGATGAATCAATATTTGATATTTAATCTCCCCTTGAATACGCTTTGAATTTGTCAGGACAGCAGTACAAAAATAACAATAATTATCTGGCCTGCCGGGCGTACTCTGTACGATTTCAGCACAATTTTTGAGAGGTCTCACGACTGCACACACTTTCACAGTAAGTAAGACAACTTCAATACACATAAATCTGACTTCGTCCATGGGAGTTTTCTGTGTGAGCTCTCAGGTCGCTCCTGAAAATCGGGTCGTACAGCACGAGTACATAAATAGGGAGCTTTGTTCATGCATCATATACATTAAATCGCACAGTGGGAGCTGACATTTTAACATGACTTATACAATCTTACAGTGTACAATGGTCTTAAGGAATTTATAAAAAAATACAATAACAATATTTTCTTTCATGTAACTTTGTGTGAAATACTTATTTGACTGAAAGAGACCAATGCAACTAATTTAGAGGTTTTCGTTGAAAAGAAATGTTGGTGCTTTAATCTCTGGGTTAACAGCATTTTCAAATGTTTTGAGAACTTGGCCTAAAAACTTTTAATTTGAATGATTTCCAAATATCCCCCATAAATAAATGGTGGTATAATGAATTCTAATAGGGGAAAATTACAATACTCTTTTTTTACATTAAAAGAACTAAAAAGCATTTCTTAGGGACTTGAAAATGTTTCACTGACTTTCTACCATGGATCAATTTCAGTGAAGAACAGAGAAGAGCAGATCCCAAAAACAATGTTTCTTGTGTGCCTTTTACCAGCAGCTCTCAGCCTTAAACCATCCAACAAAAAAAAAATCATGTTGAAATGCAGTTTTGGGGTTTGTAACTTGAGGTTTAAAGCTGCTACATAAACACTGTTGCTGCTATGACGTTTATCCACAGAAAGATGCGGCTTTTCTGTCGTAGTTTTGTACAAATGTGTGAAGTTGTGAAATATGTGAAAAAAACTAGAAAAAAAGTGAGTCTGTGGTGTATTTCAAGGAATATGGCAGTTTAAGAAGCCAAGAATCACCCACAGCTGTAACTGTATTTGAACGATGTTATGGACTTTGCATCAGTAAATTGGAGACAAACTGAGCAGCCAATACAAATATTTACTCTGATGTTTATGTATCACAGTGTTGAAATGTCTTTTATATCATTATTTTCACACATGGTTTGAAATAAATATTAGATTAAAATCTGTATTTGAAGAGAAGTCTTTCGGTCTTTACTTTAAAGACAGGACAGTGCATAGAGTCAGAAGTGGACAGAGTGGGGAATGACATGCGGGAAAGGAGCCACAAGTCAGAGTCGAACCCCTATGGCTTCTTTGTCAACAACGCAGCAGCCAGTGTGTCCTTCTAAGTTTAGAATCTGGTGCAGAATGGTCTGTTTTTGTTTTGACCACAGAAGGTAGGCGGTTTTAAGGCAAACCCACGCGGCTGTTTTAGACGCCTCTCTGTTTACCAGGCAAACTAACAGGTGTTGTAGCAACGGAAGCAAAGAGCCCACTTATAAATGCTTTTGTGGTTTTGATGTGGTTTGTGATCAAAACTCAATATCACTACGACACTGATTCCATCAAGTATTCATGATTTCAATATAGGTGTTTAAACAGACGGTGTATTTCAGCTTACTGTCCCTTTAGAGGACAGCAAGAGGACTTTTGAGATGTTTCAAGAAGTTAAAAAGTCTGAATAAGAAACGGTTTTCACTGCAAAAGTTTCAGTATTTTAAGAAAAAAGTCAACGTACCAATTAGTGACAGGTATGATTTTCAAAACACAAAGGACTCTCACAAAATCAAACAACAAAAGTTTAATTTGTTCAATAATGCTGTCGCGCCGTGTCTTTGAAAACAAGGTGGCATAACACTGAAATTACAGGCTTAGTAAAACTGAGACAAAAGGGAATAAGAGCAGGAATCAAGACAAAGTAAGGAGGTGATTAATAACAGTCCTGGTCACGTTTAATGACCTGATGATTAAATAAATAACATCTGTCATTTTAAGTCAAGGAGTGAATTTCATTTCAGTTGCAGACACTGGAAGTATCCTTATCCTGATAAACTCGGCCGTCTGATAAAAACACTTGAAAGTTATAATCAGGACCTCACATCCAAATAGACAAAGTGTTAGAAGTGAAATTATAGACATTAATCAACAGAAAGACACAAATAAACAAAGATGGAGGGACAGAACAGGTGTGAGCAGGACATAAATCACTCAGGTATCAATATTTCATATTCAAGTTAATTAAAAATTTCACTCTGTCTCACTTTGCTGGAAAACACAGCAGACACTCCTTCAAAGTCTTATTCATTGTGCTGTTGATGGACATCAACACGGGCACAATTTGGCTCAAAAAAGAAGGAAATACTTCCTTTAAATCTGTTGTTTATTAAAAGTTGTCAACAAATGAGCAGAAATCCGAACCGGATACTTTCCAACGTCCAATCACCAGCTGGGACCTGTGAGTGGTAAAGAAAAGAGATACAGCGCAGAGGTCAGAGATATTTAGGTCAGAGTAGAAAACAATAAAAGAAGTCTTGGGCCGTGTGAAAGGAGAAAGAGGAGGGATGGGAGAAGATGGGATTTCAGCAGCTCAGGCCGTTTAAAGGAGCCGGTGAAACATCCTTAAATACAGTAACCAGTCAGCGGGTCAGAGGGAACATTTCCACTCCTCTTCGACCTCACTGAGAAGCTGCCAGGAAAGCGCAGGAGGGCTGTTACACAACGGGAGCAAACAGAGTTCGGCGTGGGACATATCTGGCTAAATGTGTCACTCTGAGCCCGAGAGAGTCGCAGCATGAACAGAGCTGACGGTGTGGAGACGATTTTCTGGCTAATTTCTGGTCAGTAGCTTAGAATGATAAAAACACTAAATAAAGATGAGGGTGAACCATCAGTTTAAAACACTGTTTATCATATGCAACATTTTTGTTCACCTATGATTTACATTTCCCTGTTTTTTTTTTAATTACATCCCTAATACCAGGCAAAAAGCACCAAAAATAATCGTGTTTAAAAATTTTGTTTTACATTAAGAGCCAACACCATCGTTAAACAGAATTAAAATCTCATCCTGTTATCATTTTGACTTTACAGTGAGATTTCACAGCTTGCAGAGTGAACCCAAAGTTCTGGTTTGACAGTTAAGCAATAAGCTGAAACTCGCTTCAAAGCTTCATAGTGACCAGGATGTAGGATTTGATGAGTTGTGGATTGAAAACAATTGATTATAAAAACTTTAGGCGGCTTGATTCAGGGTGTTTACCTGCAGGGCTGTTACGGTAGTTCTGTCGTCTAATTTGTCCAAGCCGGCTGCCGAAGCGATTATTCTTGCGTTGGGGGCCGTTGTTCTGCCTGAAGGGGGCGCCTCTCCTTGTTCCCTAAAGAATGAGAGAAGTTCTAATGATCCATTGTGACTTCTACATGTTATGTCTGTTACATTCCCCCAGAAATTAAACCTGGTTGACAGGGTTTGCAAGTTGGGGAACTAACAAAACAATGCACTTGTCACAAAGGGAAAATAAAGTGTTTCTGAAAGGTGGTGGAAGGAACAAAGCCCCCCACAGCCAACCACTGATTCAAAACTTAAGACAAACAAAAAATTGGAGGCAAACAAAAGAGAAGGTTGGAGTCAGTGGACATAGACTTCAAACACACACTAACTTCAATTTCCAACTGATGGTGTTGACTCCCTGGAGACACACAACCAACTGAGCAGGAAACCCCCAACCTCCCTCATATAGCCCCCCCATCCCAGCTAATTCTCGTCAGCCATCAGCTGAGGGAGAACATCACAGGTGCAGGCAAATGCCCCAAGGAAACCTGTGACCTAGTTCCTTGTGAATGTGTCCATAACAATGTCACATGATGTGTCCATAACAATGTCACGTGACTAAAAGGAGAAAAAGTCGAACTCCACTGACAGCTGAGTCTTAGGTTGCACTCACACTAGGGCATCTGTACCGTGCCCAAGCACGCTTGACCCCCAAGTCCAGTTTGTTTCACTAGTGTGTTGGAAGAGGCGGGCTTTGGCACGATTGTTGTTCATGCTCAAGAAGCACAGGACTACAATGTGGACATTATGTATAATCAATACTTGCCTTGCATTATAGAGAAATGCAGGAGTGTTTAATGGCTGTGTAGAGGCTAAGTTGACACTTGAAGCCACTAAGGCACTGCACCTGGATTAACTAATTGACCCGCTAACGTTACCTTGTCAGATGAATTAAAGCCCAAGTCAAATTTATTCTATGTCCGGCCCCACATGTCCATATTTCCATACCAAAAACCACCCGCTTGTAACTCTTGCATGCATGCAACTGCTTAGTGGTCAAAAAACTGTTTTTCCTTCCGGGTGGAACACCTGAGCAGTAACCAAGGCTCCTACCTCATATAGATAACAGCCAATCACCCTGTGAGATCCTTCACACAAACACCACATATTATCCTGATAATCCGCTCCTACAGGATGTAGCTAAGCAAAACAACTCAGAATAAGCCACAACACATCATTAGTGTCATGTTTCTCTGTGCTATTCTTCGTTATTAGACAAGACAAAATTCATTGTGACGTTGTCATACAGTCTACAGCCGCTATTTAACAACTACTGGAAATTTAAGGTGGAATGTTTTGTTTCCATGTTACTTACTGCATGAGTTGACGTCATGAATCAGTCAAGCCACTTTAAATGTCGAAACAACGACTCACCATTATATGTGTCTGATCGTCTCTCTTGCATGACTTTCACTCAAAAGTACTGGTAATAAAAAAAATGGCTTCAAATTTTAACTGGATAATGCCAACTGGAAATATTTTATTTCCTAACTTGGAGTAAAAAGCCCAGAAGCCCCATTCCTGTGCGCTCCGGCAGCAAAGCAAGAGGTAACCATGCTCAGGCCCGGTTGGGGCTGAAGCAATGCGAGTGTAGGCCAGCTGGGGAGGGGGGACAATCACACTTCGCCCTCAAGCTCACCATGTTTCCTTCTCGACTCCTACTCTGCTCCTCAGGCCAGTCTAAGAATTCCTCGTCCTCCAGCTGATCCTCATCGTCATTGTACTCTGCACCCGGCTCACTAACAGAAACAGACAAAATTTATACAAAACTGATTTAGAAAACGAGACAAAAATAACATCACGTCAACATATTCAATGTCAGTGTTCCCATAAAACTTTTGCAGCTGATTATTCTGTTCAGGCGAAGGTTATAATAATCTGAAATCAGTTGTTGCAGTATTTGTTATAATTTTATTTGACAGATTTCTGATTCTCACCAACTTGTTTTAGGAACAAATAACAATATATTGGTGGTCGTATAAGCTTGGATACATTTAGAGGACACTCATTTAGTATAATTTTAGCTACATGACTTAAAACATCATGATTTTGAAATTTAAGATTATATCAGCATCTTATTTATTGATCAATATAAATGTGAGCTTGTCTAAAATCATTTCACTGTATATATATATATATATATATAATCCTTTGATTACTTTGTGAATTCCATCTATTTTATGAGGAAATAAAAGCATTCCTTGATAGATTTTATGAACAGTATTTAAATGCTGGAAACAAATGCTGGTAAAATATGAAAATGGTTGGTAGATTTCACACATGAAATACTTCTTATTGACAATAATCTCACCTGACTGGTCCTTGGGGGCTCTGTGACAAATTGTTTCCTAATATTGTAACTTTGACCCCCTCCAGCCTCTCCTGCCTCCTCCTCTCCAGGTCGTGCCTCAGGTCCCCCGGGCCTCGCGCAGGCTGTCATAACATATTCAAAAACATCAATTTAAAAAAAAAAGCATATCTACTGTATCTATCCAATCTCCATGGCTTGCAGGGATTTCAGGACATAAAAAGAGTTTTAGAGAAAAAGTTCTGTATATTTACCGGCAGGGATCCCAGCCTGGAGAACAGAGGCTCGTTGTCATCGAGCAGCGAGTTCATGTTCAAACTGAAACCTCTGCAAGGAGCAAAGCATGAAAGATAAGAGAAGTACATTTATTTTCACAACATAGAACACTCCTCCAGGGAGAAAATAACAGTAAAAATATCTGTTTAGAAAGCAACCACAAGATAGAGATTTACAAATAGTAAATGATGTTATTCAAAGTACAAAATTTGAGTGTTCAAACGGCCCTCGAGTGATTAAGTGTGCGAAATAGTGTGACATGACGTTTTTACTGCAAAACCGTTTTTACTTTCCTTTCGGTTGCTCATGTAGACATTTCAGTTCAGAGGCCCTTGCAGTGTCGACAGGAAAACTTTTGATTTTCTTTCACTTTTCTCACTTAACAGAGATTGTTCGCATCACGTGTTTTACACGAGTGGAGAAAGTCGTGCATTATTAATATCAACAACTGTCATTGAAATTTTTGTTTTAAGACTTGTGTAAACACGGGAGAAAACTTTAATTGGCTCCACTTTTTTAAAAAAATCAACAGAAAGAATCCAGTTAGTGGCCATGGTAAGTACCTGTTTGAACTGAACCTCTCATCCAGCGTCAGCTCCTCCGTCTCTTCCTCGAGGTATCCGCCTTTTTGAGGAGCTGAGAAACGCTCATTCAGGGTGACCCCATCCCCTCTGAAATACAGCTCTGTGAAGGCAGAGCAAACACACTTTAACAACTTCAACTGTCATGGCATGTTTAAAACATTATGCAACAAATTAAAAGCAACACATGAACAGTTCAAAACTGAAGAATGGCAGGAACCCGGTGCCCTAAATATTGATGTTGATCCTCATTTAAAAGTTTCATAACCTCCTCTGAATCTTTTTTTTTTTTTTTAAGATTTACTTTTGGGTTTTTTGTGCCTTTATTTGAGAGATAGGACAGTGGATAGAGTTGGAAATCAGGGAGAGAGAGAGTGGGGAATGACATGCAGGAAAGGGGCCACAGGTCAGACTTGAACCTGGGCCACCTGCTTGGAAGACTACAGCTCCCATACATGGGGCACGCGCACTAACCGCTGCACCACCAGCGCCCCACAACCTCCTCTGAAGACCCAAGAGAATTTAGTGTAAAAGTGAGCCTAGCGCCTTTCTGAAATTAGAATCTATGGAGGACACTCTGCAATCTGAATTGGCTGTTAAACTTGTAAATCAACTGATAATTCAGTCAAGGTCTTCGTTTTTGACATATTCAATTTCTTTAAATTTAGTTGTTTTTTATATTTGCAGTACTTTATAATTTGACGGCTTAAATCATCATTTTTTTTATATAAAAGTGCAGAAAACACTGTTTTATTTTAAAGGTTTACCTTGGTGCTTTTTATGCCTTTATTCAGAGATAGGACAATGAATAGAGTCAGAAATCGGAAGAGAGAGAGTGGGGAGTGACTTGCAGGGAATGAGCCACATGTGGGATTCAAACCCGGGCCGCCCGCCTTGAGGAGTGCAGCCTCCGTACATGGGGTACGTGCGCTGCCCACTAGGCCACCAGCACCCCACAATCCTGGGGTCTACTTCCTTGAATTTAATATAAAACCTTTCACAACATTATGACAATCTTCTCTTTCACCAGAAACTTTTCTAAAATAAAATCACATCTGAATTGTTTCAAATGTTTGGATGATAGAATCAAAGATCAAGGTAAATTCTTTAGTGTTTTGTGAATGCAGTGCTGACCTTTGACGCTGTGCACTAGTGTGATGATTTCCTGGGCAAAAGTCCCAGTATGCACTGCTGTTTCTCTGTACGTCCCAGAGTGCTCCAGCATGGGCAGAAAGTCCAGACGCTGGCGACCAACGTTTACCAGGTCTAAAGAGAGCTGTCTGTCTGAGGAGTAACACAGCAGGCTGCAGGAGAAAAGGAACAATGAAATATAAAGTGGTATCCATGAATGTGAGCTCCTGATTAGAGGTCACATTTCATGGAATTCTTGCTTTGGTGTCCCCAAATCATATACAAAAATAGCTTTTACTGCCTCTTATGATTATTATTAAATGGAATTAAACACTGCATGAATTTTAAGGTGATATTTATAATGGTTTGATGCTGTGCAGTGTTGTAAGAAGGCTGACAGTTTCTATGTTTGAGAATCAGGTTGGTCAGACAAAAACAAACCCTTTTTGTCAGTTTTATAAGCGACTAAAAAAACAATTAACTTAATTAACAGATCATTTTATGTTCAATTGTATATTTAGACAAAGTAGGTATTTGTTTAAAAAAATGATCACGTTGATCTTAGATCTGGAAAAAGAAGTAGAATAGAAACATCTTTACCTTACCCAACAAACTTACCAAAAAGTTCCACAGATGAGAATATTTAAAATAAATACGCCCTGAATGTTGACTGAAAAAGGCGATATTCACCCGTTAAGGTACACTGAATAATAGTTTTTAAAAATATTTTCATGGGTGTTTTTCAAGGAAATAAACTCAAGCTAAAGGTCAGTTGAAGGTTGGGTGAAAGTTCACACTTATTATCTTGGTTGATTAATTCTTCAAATAGGAATCATGAATCACATTGGTTGTCAGGTCATCAGACATATTCCAGCCATTGTGCTGGAATCCAGCTATGTATTACGACTCCCGCAGTTGATTACCGTTGACTTTTTAATAGCCTTATTCGTCAGCTTCTGATCACTGATGGCGTTCTTCAAACTTGCCCCAGTTTCACCAGCTTAACTTTTATTTCTTTTGTGCAGAATCCAGGGTATTTGTCATGAGACCAATTTCTTCATAAAGCAGCCTTGACAACGCTTCAATGTCTCCGTACTAAATATTGCAGACTTTAATATCCCATCTTGCTTCTTGGTCATTTGAAAAGGCAGTTTAATTTCATCCTTTCAACAATACTGATGTTGATGTCCCTTCCTCCTCTTGCCCTGGTCTATTTTCCAGATGGTTGAAATGTAATGACTTCATTTTCTTGCTTTAAACGTCATTGATGGTGCTTCAATGTCCTCAATTTTTGGCATTTTTCTTCATGGCTTTGATTACTTCTTGTCCGACAAATAATGACGCTGCAAATTCTCATCTTTCCACACTTATACTCTTCATCAATGCTTCTTTTGCACCCCAGTGTTACTCCAATGTCTCACTTTTAAACTGGCAGTATTTTTGTTCAAGACTTCAACTTCTTGATTGATTTTATTTTTCTTGGCTTTGGTTTCTCTTTCCATCATTAGGCTGTAATTTCCCAATTTATTTTCATGATAATCATCTTTGTTTTCCTCCACTTGCTTTTTTTCCAGTAGTGATAGATATACATGTTCTTGGCATCCCACATAAAATAATGGGCTTTGGTTTCTCCTTTTAACATAGGCAATGTTTACATTCATGGCTTCATTTTCCTCTTTAAACCGCGGTTCACTGGTGCTGTTCTTTGGAAGAATCAGCTGTAGGAGATATTTTCCTTCATCAGATCCTGTAAGCAAGACGGACATAGACAGCAGTCCTTAAGATGATCAAGTTTGTCTGAACTTGCAAAAGTTGCTTTGACACAATTTCCAAAATGCATCCCACTTCACAACCAGTATCTGGCCATGCAAGGGCACAAGTTATCCTGGCTCATCCTCACAGGTGGTGGAATTACGACGGAACATCATCAGACCATAGCTGATGTGATTGTCTCCTCTCCCTCGTAGTACATAGGTCGTCACTGTATGAAAGTCCTTTTCATTTTGGAACATGAAATTGCCATGTGGACCAACAGCTGGAGATGGAGCTCATCTTGTCAAATGTCTTGACTTTCTCCTTTATGACAGATCACTTGGTGCTTGCTATGTTCTTCATTTAATAACTTGTTTCTTTTTTTAGTGTCCAGAATCATTTTAGTGCTTTCTCTAAATGTAATCAAAGTTGCATATTGGTAAAAAAGTATAGAAAACTTTGTTATCATGGAGAACCTTTTTTCTTTTCCACCATTGTTTAGTATCCCTCCTGAAAACAGGACCAATGTCCAAAAATTTCATCTTCATTTCAGCGATGTCGGTTTGACCTTTCCTGATGCAAGAGACACCAACTGAAGTTTCTTCAATGGCGTCAGAGAATCCTGAATGCCAACTATTTAAATCCACCCATCTAGAGGCTTCCTTCTGGAGAGACCAACCATATACTGGGAGCTTTGTTGGCATGTTGAAGTTTCTTTGTTGCCTGTCCAGACCTTGACCTTGTGATGTCAGCAACATCCATCCATACAGCGTTTAGGGGAAAATCAACAACAACTGATCAATACCTGGTTCCATAATGTTATCAAAATGCTTTTTGCTTCAGGGAAACCACACTGGTAGGGTAAGGGTGCAATTCCTAGAAAATCTTGCTCTTGCTTCTTTGGTAATCTTTGTGGACAAATCAGCATATTGAATGGCCATTGGTGAAAATCAGATTGTGTCTGCAAGCTTGGTTTCTTAATCCTGCAGAATCACCTCGTTTGTGGCCTCTTGCGTCAGCCTCTCAGCTTTGTAAGACTTTTAGATTGATCCCAGAAGTAATCCGTACATTTGGTGAAACATACTAATTGATTATCAGGTTCACCAGAGTTCACTTTACAACCATGAATATGACCAGCTAATCCTCAGAAGCCCTTGTTTTCTTTGATTTTCAACCAGATGATCCTAGGAGAAGTTAATCCGTGCCCTAAGTCAGTTGCCTGCTTCTGGACAATTGACTTGGTGACTGAGTACCAGATCCACAGATATGCCAATTTCACCTTTGCTCCAATAAAACTGTGACTTGCAAGTCACTAAATGAAAGCAGAAATATACTTCGCGACAAGTTTCCAGGTGATTGGTGAGTATCCCCTGTTCTTTGAGTAGAATGTGATGCAACTGGACTCCCATTTGATTTCAGCTTGTTTTATGGCATAGTGACTTACATGAAGGCCCCCAAGGCTCCTCAGTAAATGAATGTTAACTGTAGTTTGTTTCCTTCAGGAGGTAGAAGCTCCTTTTACTGGTTTTCTTCAGTAAAAGTACGAGTGAAAGCAGTGTGTCTCTTCTTGGCTTCTGTCCACAACTTCTATCAGAGGGCAACTTGAGAGTCTTCTTTGAGTCCATCTGATCATACAATTAACAGTCAATATTCTTCAAAGACATTTGGATCTGTATTGATTTGCAGTGTCCATGAGGAGAAACATTTAAAGCAGGGGTTTTGGCAGTATTCTCCAAACTGCAACAAATTCCAGTTGAGCTAAAAACACATCTTGTGTCCTGCAAAAATCTTTCCATTTTTAACAAGTTCCCAATATCCACAAGGTTTATTTTAACTCTTTCCGCAGCTTACCATGTGCATCAAAAGAAAAGTGTGAACTTTCACCTCTCACCATTGATAATTTGATGAAAAAAAATACTCTACCTGTTTTTATTCACGGGTTGGCTCATATCCACTTTGATCGTTAGCGTTTCCTCCGCAACCGCCATGTTTTTGGTTTTCTGTTTATTCCATTCACGTAACCTCTGACGGGGCATTTTAGGGTCCAGATCAATGGTCACTGGGCTTCGATCCAGACTTCCAGACCTGTCTGCTTTCCATCCGGGAGGTCCATCCTCTTCTGCCCAGTTGGGCTCCTGCTTAATGGGATCCTCATAATCTCCCCTGAAAGGTTGGGACCGTTGTCTTGGCCCTTCATTTCGGTTATCTTGATCTACCTGGAAGGAATGCTGTAGGTGTGGTTGATTTCTAGGCAGTCCAGTCCTTCCAAACTGGCCACGGCTGGCACGTCCTCTTGCTGGACGAAAGGCGCCCCTCCCCCTATGGTTCATAGTACTATCTCGACTTCCATAATTTACAGGGCTTGGTCTTTTTTCAGGGGTCCTTGCACTGCCATGATAGCTGGAATCCCTTCTATTATCTTGGAGGAAATGTGGTCTTGTGTCCCGATCTTGCAACCTACTCTCTGATGCCCTGAAACGCTCCTGAGAGAATCCTGTTGGACACGGACTTCTCTGGCGGTCAAGGCCAGGGTCCAGATCTCTACGATCCTCAAATTTTTCCCATGGGGACGGGTCTCTTCTGTCTGTGATACCATGATCATGCTCAATAATGAGTGGCCCTGAGTGTCGACCGTCTCCACGGGGGAGGTTCCCCTGACGTTCTCTTTGAAACCCATCTCTGGGTGAGTCCATCGAGTGACGCTGTTCCCCAAAGTGCTCCTCATTCCTGTACCTGTGATGGCATAAGAGGAGGTGACACTGTTCAACAGCTGTTCATGCATTTGTCAACTCTTTACACCTGGTTCTAACCTTACAGTTAAAATTAGCTTTGGAATTATTTAACACTATATAGAATATCTGACTTACCTACTCACAAGGTAAAAAGCACTTAAAAAAACAACCTTTGCAAATAAAAGCGCAATATAAATTCACAACATGACTAACTTCAACATAAAACATCCAGATATTTTCAGGTGTTAGAAGAAATTGCAACGCAAGGAAAATGTAAGCCATGCAATATTTGTAGGATTATTTTGTGTTATAGAAAAAATAAATCATGATGAATAACAGGGAAGGATTTTGCACAATAGAAAAAAAGAAAGATGAGAATCTTCTGCATTCTTCGTTTCCTTTTTTCACTGCGACAGTGCTGCAAAGCATTTGGCTTAAAATTTACCCAGAGTTATTGGTGTCATCCATTTCTCTTCTTTGCCTTTTAAAGTGTGGGTTCCTCTCTTGATGTGGATCTTCCCATTGTCTTTCTCTAATTAGACTCTGTGTGTTCCTCCTTCCTCTTTCCCTTCCTGTTCCTCCTCTTTGGTCATCTGACCTAGCACTGGGGCTGGGGTCTCTGAACCTTCCTCGACCTCTACCCTGCCCCTCCCTCCTCCAGCCACCGGGCTCTCTCTGCTGGTGGTCTGAATCGGATCTTGGTGTCAGCGGCAATCTTTCCCTCTTGAACCTTGGAGGTGAGTTGGGCGACCTCCCGCTGTTTTCAAAGTTTGGGTATGCTTCTCTAAACCCTCCTATGCGTCTTGCTCCATCTTCTCCTCCATCATGTATGGGGGAAAGCCTTCTTTCCTCATATCCCAGCATATCATGTTGAGGTGATGGCCTCCTGCGATAAAACTCCTCCTGGTTTGAATGACGCTGATGCCCAAACTGGCGGTCATCCTGGAAAGGAGAAGATCTTCTCTGGTCTTCAGGGTGCATGTCTTCCCTGACATAGTTCCAGCGTTCTTCAGGAGTTCCTCTGGGGTGGTGGTGGTGTCTCCGGTCCATCTGATCTCCGCCCAGTTCTGCAACAACTTTGTAAGGATCAAAGTCAGGTTCGTCCCATGGGAACCTCCTGAGAAAAAAATATTAGACTCATGTCACCTCAAGATGTATCAGCTTCTACATAAAAAAAAAAAAACATCCAAAGCAAAACATAGAAACATTGTTTTGTACTTGAGGATAGAATTAGGATGATCGCATTTTTAAAACAGCAAAGTTTTACCTGTAATGTGGCGATCGAGAACGTGGTCTTGACATTTTGTCAACCTATAAGCAAAGAAGAGCTTTTATATGATCATATCAACTTAATCTTATGACGATGTTAGGAGAAATCATCGTTTTACAAAATATAAACTATACTTAACTAAACTGTAAACAAGGACCAGAGTATGCCAAAAGTCACCTCAATGTACCAATTATTAGATTAAGTTCATTCATATTTTCATGATAGATAACATCTGTTTTAATAAATTAATCTTAACTATTCTTGATGGGTTAGGGTTATACTCAGCAAACACCAGTTGCAACCTAGTTTGGAGACAAACTCTAGTATTCAAAAGAAAAAACCTGCCCAACCACCTGCTACAAGACTGTGGTTATTTTACCGGCATACATGGCTATTCACTTACTCACAATGATCTTAAAATTGACATATAAAAGGGCTGAGGGATTTCTGCTGATTCACATCAAGCAATAAAAGTAAATGATTTTCTGACTGTTTCATCTTTCATTTAGAATCACCTATGTAAGTTTTAATTTATTTGACAATTTTTTAAGGGTTTGTTCTACTGTATAGTGGATCATAATAGTCACCAGATAATTTGTTTGCATATTAAATGTCTTAACTAGGGTTGAACCAGAATATCAGTATAACAATAAAGATTTCAAAACTGTGAATAACTACAAAATTGTATTTGACCACATTATTACACAATATTTCAGAGAAATGTCTTCTGTTTCTTTTAATTTTGGTTCATAATAATTGATAACTGTAATAATAATTGTTCACTGAATAATGGGACATTTTAAAAAAACTTTTGCAGAACTAGGCCTGCACAATATGAGAAAAATCTGCGATGCGCGATAACATCATTCAATATTGTGGGAATGATCTGAATTGCAACATACAGAAAAAAATACAGTGCATATTAGCTATAACTCACAGTATGCTTCTTGCTTGTGTCCCAGGCGAAAACTACGTCTCTATAATTATTTTTTAGTTAGTTTTGTAAACACAATACAGTTTAGTTAGTTATCGTTGTTTGATAAAGCCTTGTTTTTATCTTAGTTTCAGTTAACAAATTTTTTTTTTTTTTTTGTAACTCAAATTTTTAATTTATTTATTTTATTCAACAAACAAAACAGACAGCATTGTTGTTGTACAATAGTACGCCCAAAGTCCCATAACAACGGAGTACGTAATTGGAACCAAAATAACAATTCCGTAACCACAGTATACACAGTGCCACATCTTTATTTTTACAATGCACCAATGGTACTACATGTACAAGCAAAAAAGTGGCCCCATAACCTCTGGAAGTTCTCACCTTCATTATTGACACAGTATCTGACATAAGTTCCATCCATTGCTTAAATTGTGGGGGGGGGGGGACGGACGTACTTTTCCATAATCTAAGGATCAATCGTGCGGCCGTTACGACCCCAACGTTTATCACAACAAGGTCATATTTAGATACTTTGGTCAATTCAGTTTGATCCCCTAACAGGCAAATCCTTGGTGATTTAGGTATCGTCATACCCAACCCCTTCCCTATGTGTTCCATGACTTGGTCCCAAAATGGGTTTACAAGTGTGTGTGAAAAATGTTCCTGGTTCTATCTGACACTTCCAACATAAATTATTGGCCAGTATGCCCATCCTATGGAGTTTAGAAGGAGTAACAAATTTTTTTTACATTATTTTTCATTCACAATATTAACCTTGTCTCTGTGGTTGAGTACTTCATGGACCTGGTCTTTTAATTAAGTATCTTGAGATAACATTTGTTGTGAAATTGGCATTATGTTTAATTAATTAATTGCAGCAAAAAAAAAAACTATGAATGGTAGTCATTTTGAATCAGGGTTGTCATAATACCAGAATTTTAAACGTCAATATAATATGATACAAGTAAAAACAAACAATATCAAACGATGTCTACACCTGCATAATGTAATGTAGTCAGTGTGAGGGAGTTTGTAATCATTTTGTGATTGATTTATTCTCCCCTGAGCACCTGTATTATAAAATAGATGCCATTGAAATATATGTAATTATTAAAAAAATCAGTGTACAGATAAACCTCCTGCAGGCTGACACACACCTCATGACCTCATGTTGTGACTTTTGGTCTTTTTTTAGCAGGAAGTTTATAGAGCACACAAGCGAATAAAAGCCTTTTCTTCAAGTAGTGTAGGGTTACTCTGAATACTCTGACATCGTGTAGTTCGTCAATGACAGTATTGTTTTATATATCATAAAAACCTTATCATATCCACTTAAGGATTAATGCTAAAGCTAACGAGCTAACGTTACGCAGCTTGTCTTACCTTCGGATGAAGCACGCGTCAGGGCACCGCGAGATTAGCTACCGGCCTAAAAACCGAAATATAACCGTTTGTAAATAAGAAATAAATAAGACAACCTCTCTAACATCTAACAGCTAGGTAAATATGTCGTGCTCCGTTTACAATTCTGCAAGAAAATGGCTGTGTTGACTTAAAAATGTGAACGTTTCTAAGACCACTATTAGGCACCGATTCTGAACTTCCGGCCCGTGTTTTCAGAATAAAAGTACTTGTTGTAAAGCCCACAGGTCAACATTAAAAATGTAGTATATTGAGCCAGATTTGATTGTGTAATTGTCCATGCTACAGTAAAAAAAAAAGTTAAAACTCAATGTCAAGTAAGGCCTAAAGAATATAAGGTTGCAGTGATGTGGATTTCCTTGTTGTTGACATGTTTGATGATGAAGAAATTCTCCGTTGACACTGACTTGCTTACATAATGATCATTTTATTGACAAACAAGTTACAGCATCGCCAGGCTCGCCATGGTTCGACCTGGGAGAGACACAGCCAAAAGTGATCTCTCCCCTTACACACAGAAACTCTGGTATTTATGGACACACCTCACAGGAGAACAACATAGGGACATCTGTTTGTTTTCAGGACACCCCTCTTCATACAACTGCAGGGGTTTCTGTCTTAGTCATATGTATGTCATATGTATGTCATAAACTCAAAGGACAACACAGGTCACAGATACAATCTCTTGTCCAGAAGTCCCTGGGGCAACTCTCTGGATACAGGGGCCCCCATTGTATACATTCCACTGAGAGGGCTCCTAAATCTCCTTCAGATACTCCTGATGCGCCCATTGTAAACTTATATTACCTCTGTCCTGATTACATCAGACACTTCATAGTCCCCCCTAGCGAGACTATAGTCTCGCAAACAAGAAATTATACAATTATGATGTTAATTAGCCTCATACGAATCACTTCTGTCCATGCTTAACCTTAGTAATATAGTAAAATTTTATTTGTGGAGTGTGAGAGCGAAAAACCCATCAAGCAGCTATCTTTCTTTATTATCCATCAAACAATCTAGACAGGAAAACTCTCTCACGGTCCCTCTGCCCCAGGCAACCACCTATGGTACTCCAAACCAATTAGAAAGAAAAGGGTTATGAAAACTTTTTAGGATGATATATAAATGCACACATTTAAAACCTCAGAAATAAAATCTAAAAATTGTCCAAAGTCAGGCTGGTCGACCCATCGCACCTTCCAATGGACCTCTCCCTACCTAACACCACTTTCCCTAAGGATCGATAAAGAAAGAAAACACCTGAGGTCCCAATATATGCATCCTATACAGTTCCAGAAAAATATGTCTTGCTCAAAATATCTACTATAAAGTAAAACATACAAAAGTATTTTTCAACAATACAAGTTACATTGTAATAAACCTTCAATGATTTTTCAATCGAAACCCCTCATCATGATGTCTTCATTCAGGTTTCCGTTGTCCATTTCCATCCTCCATTTTCTTAAGTTTGGTTGTTTCAACTCCATTAATCTGGAAGGATCTCTGGACAATCAGCCACCCTCACATTGGTCTCCCAAATATCATCCTGGGAAGAAAAATCAACAGCCAGTATCTTTGTACATACAAAACATCAAAGATATTCATTTTTGTATCATACTTTCACATTATTCCACTACATGATTAACATACATGATTAAAATATTCAATTCCCCCCTTTTATCAATTCACTTCCAGTTCAAAATAATAGTGAGTCAATGTTGAATTCAGATATTCAAAAATGGATATTTCTCTCCAATCTCTATGACCTCCTCACCTTCACTTAGGTCATTACCACTCAGTAGCGGCATCTGAATGTTTTCTCCTGGCATCACAACTCCTACCCATCTCAATATCATAGCCTTAGCAAAGGTCAACAACAGCGTACAAAAACAAAACATCACACACAGTGATAGAAGGGTAGCCACCAAAATCTGAACCACTATAGCTCCTACTGGTCCTAATTGGTCTTGTAACCAGGTATTCGCAGACCATCCCGCTCTTTCTGATGGACCAAATGAATCCTAATTAGTTTCAAAGCATCTATGACACTAGTCATATTGTCAGTAGCATCAAGAATCAAAGTATAACAGGCTTCTCCAGTTAGATTCAAAGCTACACAGAGGCCACCTTGTTTGGCCAAAATGTAATCAAAAGCCATGTCATGTTTCAGCAACGTCAATCGATGACTCCTCTGAGTATTCGACAAATATTCAAAACCTTTTATGGTCTCGTTTGCAAAACCTTGCAGGGTATATGTAATATTATCAATATGATCAGCTAAGTATGTAACACCATACCATGGAAACAATCCTATTCCCCATTTCTCTCCCAAACTTATCCTCCAATGATAAGACTCCAAGTTGTGAAATTGTGCCAAATCTCTTTTCTTTCTACTGCTAGAGATTGTCGTAGAGTTATGCTCATCAGACCCTTGTCCCTTCTGAATAACAAAAACATCATACGGAAGTTTCAACTGTGCCATATAACAACATCCAATCCAACCATAAGGTAAAAATAAGTATGCCTTATCACCACAAATCCACCAGATATCTTTAAATGTTCCTATGGTAAAATTACCCTGTAATATCTTCATACTGATAAAGGAGATTTATATATGATAAGTTCTTCAACCAAGCACAATTCCCTTGAGGTGTAAATAGATGCACCGACACGGCCATCCAATAATCATATGGTGCTTGTTGCTTAAATACCAACCACGATAGCGCATAATTCTGACATTTAGAAGTTAAAGGTTCTGGTACCGTCTCTAGAATTGAAGGCCATGTGCCTGGTGCTGGAACTCTCACGACACATGGACCACTCAAATTACTAGCCAATCTAACAGAGTGAGTCAACTGTTGGTACCACATATTTCTACTTGCCCACGGGTCTGCAATTTGCAACACCGAGGAATCAAACCCATAAGCTTTCCATTGGGTTTCACGCTTCTCTAATGCATGAAGATGTTTAGTCATGACTTCTGATGTCCCGTCAGCATTTACAAAATCATCAATCAGATTCGACATAGTCATCTGAATTGTTTCAGCTGCCTTAACTAATGTAGATGTAGCAATAGATGTCAACATCATACCTACAGACTCTGTAGACACCGAAGATCTCATCATTGTTTCGTTGATAGTAGATCCCATCTTTACAACCTCACTTGTAAAATTACTCGCAGCTGGAGTAGTAACCAAAGTTGATACGTTAATACTACTAGTTATTCTCTGAGCTACAGTAGTAGACATCATCTGTTCATCAGTCACCCTTGGAGTAACTAGTTGCTTTTGAACCTCTTTAGCCACCGTAACTACTTCAATAGGATCTAGGCCTTCTACCACAAGCATTATCTTACGAATTCTATACCCTTTTACCCAATAATTGTGATATGGTACAAATTTAAACTCTGGATCCAAATAAGTGCATGCATATTCTCCCTGATCTTCCCCTGTTACATTGATTAGGACAAGTGTACAGTCGTCTACAACCCTAAACAACCTTATGTGATTGTACAAAATATACTTTCTTTGATCATGAGGCACACTATTCATTTCAGGTCCTGTTAGCACTATTTCTTCACCACGAGCATTTTTCCCAATTAGGGGAATTATTACCATCATTATTCCATTTTCCACATTTACATGGAAGGCGTGCTGAATTCCCTAACGTAGCTTTAATCACAATGTTTACAGGAATTTGAGTTGTAGAAATCATCTGAGGCTCAGCTGTATTTAGACGCAATATCTCTATGACGTCAGTAACCTTCAGTTTTGAAAAGGTGGATGTCTGCTTTATTTTCTCAATCAGCGGGATAGTTGATATGGTAGTTGACAGTTTTCCTACTTCAACAACCAGGGGTTTTACAATTCTAGTTTCATTTAGTACCACTAAAGTCACAATACTGTTTCTGTAACCTAACCCCGATTGAACACTATGCTCTCCCATATTTACTAATTTTGGGTCATAATATGTACACTTATAGTCACCTTGATCTTCAATCTGAGATCTACGTAAATAAAGACTACAGTCTCCCTCAATCTTTGACCTTCTTCGGGTTGGCCTTGGACTCCTTGGTCCAACTGGGTCTGTGAATTTTCCTGTAGAGGCATCACAGCCCTCTGGAGTCTTTGACTCATGCTCCTGAAAAATAGACTCTGTTGTTTTGGACATGTTGTAAATCAATGTCACCAAATCGTCTTTCTTGCTCATGGACTGACAAGTCATCCCTGACATCATCAAAAGTGTAATCAAAATCATCATGTATAGCCCCAACATGGTCAATCCCTTCTTCCGGATCTTGACCTTGGGTCTGCATAACCTCTGCTGCTTCTGCAGCTTCTGTTGGCTCTCTTCGCTTTCAACATCTCGGTTCTGTGATCGTGAACCTCTTCTGTTGGCGCTTTAACACAATGTGATAAATGATACCAGGTAGGAGACCCTTTAACCTGGAGGCAGTTCCCGTACTGCGGACTACTTCAAATGGTCCTTCGCAGCGTTCATTAAACCACTTCCTCCTAAATACCTTCACGAATACCTTGTCTCCAGGTTGCACTGCATTCGTCTTTTGCTCATCGAGTCTCTCTTGCACCTCCTCTCGTTTTTGTCTATCAGAGACATATGTGTATATTCTCTTATGTAAAGCAGCCATGTAATTAACATACACTCGCATTTCATCTTCTAAAAGGGCTAAACTTGGACCCTTGCCACTTGTACGCAAACAAGGTGTCGCATCCGTCTGCCATTGCCAACTCATGGGGTGTCATGCGCAAATCACGGAGCCCACTTGAACGACACACCATTAATGCCAATGGAAGCGCTTCCACCCAATTCAAACCTGTGTGTTGGCAGATTTTAACAATGCGGTTTTTAACACACCATTCATTTTTTCACAAGCACCTTGGCTTTGCTGATGATTAACAGCTCCTAGATGTTGTTTAATTCCCAATTTTTGCAGAATTAGTCCTACTGTTTTATTCACAAACTCTTTCCCATTATCTGAGGATATGCAGTCTGGGAGTCCCACCTGCTTATAACCTCACAACACAAAAACTTGAAAACTTGGCAGCAGACTGAGCATCTTTCCGCTTGGTTGGACAGGCCTCAACCCATCTTGAAAATCTATCCACAACAACTAGCATATAGGACTTATTGGCGTCCT